AATACATTTGACGGGAAACTACATACACGACATACACGATGGACCATGAAAATTATTAGCGCCGTCAACACCGAATACTTGTCGATCGTAGCACGGGGATGACACATGTCACAACGTCGAAAAAGCTATAACTTACGACTGTCAGTATGTCGTCAGACATCAGCACAAGGGGAATAAGAACGTGTACAAGGTATCATATGATCAGCAAACGCTGTTGTATGAAGTGCACGGGAAACGTAGACAACATTCGAGGACTGCCAGGGCTTTCATAAGTGTTCTGGTCAGACCGAAGTTTAAATAAGGCACATGAACATAACGCGATGGCAGTGGACCCAAAAAGTAAAGGAATGCCAATTGAGACGATAGAAAAGAGTAGGTTCCTACAAAGTTACTTTATTTTACAGTACCCATTCGGGGAATTCAATCTGCACATCCTTCCCAGAAAGCTTCTTGTAAAGCCCAGTGATGGTCTTCAACTATAGAGAGAAGTATGCATATAGATGAAAATAACTTACCTTGTGTTCAACATAATTCCTCTGGGCGATATCAAGGTGGCATTTAATCAAGGAACTACCATCAACTCTCACTTGTGTGCGCTTGCCAACGATTTCTGCGGGGAAAACGATATCGGTTAGGATGGACTGATGCACTGAGGTGAGCGTCCGGTTGCGTGGCCTCTTCTGTTTTGGGTTCGTCTTGCACTTTCGACGTGGCTTAGGCAAAATCCGTCTGAAAGCACAGATGAAAACCTGAGCGCCACGAAGCTTCTTTTCAAGCTCGCCCACCAGACGGTTGTGAAGTTGGTGGTATGTTCTCAGCTGAGGAACAGGAACATAAATGACAATGGCTCTTTCGTGCCCTATCATAAATTCCTGCAAAAGTGAATTGTAAAAAGCGTTAAAGAACCTTGGCGCCGCAGAAGTACAGCATCTTAATAGACTCCGACATGGTCTCAGATGACTGAAGCTCCACAAGGGTGTGTGCTATCTCCTCCTCGAGAGGGGTAGGCGGGGTTTTGTCAGGTTTAAAGAGTTTCGCAAGTGCCATTTTAACTATATTTTGTTGAAAATTACCATAATCATAAATTAATGA